GATGTTGTTGTTGCTATACGAGCTGATCTTACGGCCCACAGAGCTGATTTTGCTACCTTCCGTACGAATATCGCGACTATGTTCCGAGATCTATCCAGAGATATCTGCGGAGCCCGACCTGCCCGTCCTACCTCATCATCCTGAGTTCCCAGTTCATTCTATCTTTTGATCCATCTCTGATCTCTGATTTATATTTTTGTCACTGTACAATACCATTATTTTTGCAGCCGGTCTGTCGGTTTTGATATTTCTGTTGTACCTGCACTTTATCTATTTTATATATCTGTTTTTGCTATAGATGTCATATGATTATATTCTCATATGTATATGTTTGACTCCATCAGGTGCATCACAGTGACTTCAGTGAGAGAGTGCTACCGATTTTCAGGACCACCCTTATACCTCTCTTATCTCTTTATCTGTTTATCCCATTTATACTTGCATATCCACTGTGCACAAATTATCCTATTTTGTTATCTGATGAGTTTATCCAAGTGCCAATTTTCAGGACCACAGTTCATCCCAAGCTTGGGGGGGCCATGCCACCCACTTCGGATACTTCAGTCCCGATCATTCTTGCTTAGTTGCACTGATATACTCTTTCCTTTGTTTTCTTTGCACATTGAGGACATTGTGCCATTTAAGTTTAGGGGAATGGTGCTTTACAGTGTTAGCTTTAAATTTCAAGATTTTGAGCATGACTTATGTATTTGAGGGATATTTCTATGATTGGTCCATATCTAGCTATGATTTTGATCTTTTGCGGACTATATTGCTTAAAATTTAAAAATTGTTTGACTTGAGAGTCCAATGCTCCTTGTATGCCTTATGGATTCCATTTAGGAGTAAATCTTTCGAAAGATTAATATCTTGCTTGCACTTGTGGTCCACATCATCTTGATTTTGTGATTGTTTTGAAATTCATTCTAGGATTTTACACTAGCACAGGCGCACATTAGCATTCATTTGTGGGGTACATGCTTTGTTGATTATTGAATTGGTTAAATCCCAATTGGGCTAGTAGTGCATTGAAAGATTTCATTCTTGATAAAGGTGGATAACAACCCCTTTTTACTAAGTAACCGGGATTCTGGCCTCATCAAGCACTGAACTTCTCGCGCCGAAAGGTGGAGGGCCCAAACTCTAGGTTAATAATTGAACTTGATTATTCAAAAAAAAAAAAAAAAAAATGAGGACTTCTCACAAAAGATGAGAAGTGGAAAATGATTAAATTGTTGTTATCTTGATTTGTAGCCTAGTTGATTTGAGCTTGTAAGTCCGTAGGGGTATTTGAATGCCTAATGCCCTAAAGCCGTCTGGTTTGGGAGTCATTGACCTAACGTTCGACCTCATGAAGTGCTAGAAAGCTTAATAGATCAACACATTGCACTATGCTTCTATCTTTGATCCTATAAAAAAAAAAATAATAATAATAATAAAAAATCGAGTAAAAAGAATAAGCGCACCTAGATAAATAAAGTTTTAATAAAAGGTCCACTTTTTGTCTTGATGATCGGTACTAGATTTGTGTGCTAGTTTGAGGGTAAGGATGTGATCATTTCTTTAGTTGGCTAAGATAGCAACATATTTGATGTCGGTCCACTCAAAAAGGATTCTAGAGTTGTTTTGATTTGCATGATTATTTTCTTGATGTGTGGAGGACCATACTTACTTGCTTGATGTTGAGATTTTGGGAGATTGCTTGGAAATGTTTGAAAAATTGCATACTTGAGGTAGTTTTCTCCCAATGCTTGTTTGCAATATTGGTGCCTCTTTTGAAAGAATGAGCTTAATGTTTGTGGATACCATTTCTTAAAACCCTCACGAGACTTCACTCGTCCACTAGGGGTAACCTAGGGGTTTAAAAGGCTTGTTGCATGTACTAAGTGTAATCATGTTTCCTACGAAAGTGGCATTATCCATTTATTATTTTTTAGATTCATACTTGTATAGTTGTTCATTTCATTCATTTACTTCTTAGTTCATTGCTAGGGACTAGCAATATTTAAGTTTGGGGGTGTGATGAGCGCTGAAAAGTGCGTATTTAAACCCTTTAAGCTTAGGCATTCTAGTACCTTTATCTATCTTACTTTACCGTTTTAGATTAATTTCGAATTATTTCTATTTTCAGGCACTTATCCCGAAAATAAGCTAACTCAGCCAAATAAGAGCTTAATTGAAGCAATTCTGGGATTAAACAAAGAAAGGAGCAAAGTAGAGAAAGAAAGAAGCAAATGAAGTCAAAGGTGGGAAGCAGCAAAGTTCGATCAATCTAACTTCAAGGTTCGATTGATCGAACACTGATCGATCTCAGTACTTCAAGATAGATCAAAACCTTGACCCAAAGCAGAAAGTCCAAAGTTCGATTGATCCAACACCACCCTTCAATCGATCCAACACTTTTGTCCTTATTCAAATGATTGATCTTATCCACAGTTGTACCACCCACTAACCACTTTTGTCATTTTCTTAAAAATATCTCCCAAAATATCTCAGATTTATCTTTTCCCAAAAAGCTCAACCAGTTGGATCAATCCAGCCTCAGTTCAATAGATCTCAGCCAAGTTCAATCGATCCAAGTCCAAGGTTCGATCGATTGAACTTCCTCCAGTGCGAAAAAGTTAAATTTCCAGCTCATTGAAAGTTGTCCTTTATCCAATCATTGGGGAATATGCTTTGCACGACCCCAGCTCATTTTGTGTGTCACTTGACCTACTTATAAAAGGAATATGATGCACTTTTTGAGAGAGATACCATTGGATACTTAGCATTTTGGTAAATACAACTTTAGAGGATATTCTTAGTGTAGAAGAGAAGAGGAGGAGGCTAGAGACACCATTGGAGTTCTTCATCAACAAGGAGCAAATTTCTTCCATGGAGTTAGCCCTTGAGGGTTGGAGCAACATCACCATGAGTGGCTAGACATCCTCTTGGGGCTAGAGTTAGCCCCAAACATGCTTTCTATATCTTAATCTTGTGTATTATTGAGAGATTAGTGTTGTAATTAATGTTTTGACACTTTGATATATATAGATTTTGATTGTTCAATGATTTATGTGGTTAGATGCTTTCAATTGATCATTTCATTTTATCCATATGTCTATGTATGTTAGAATAGATGTTCATGTGCTTGTCTCTAGATTTTATGTTATTGATGCATGTCTATGTGTATTGATGTTATAAATTTAGAAATTGTCAAAACATAGTGCTTAATGGAATGCTCTTGTGATTTTCTTGATGGTTCATACTTATTTCTTGATGGATTGTGCCTTTCCCCTAATTTATTTTCATGCTAGTAGTGTAGATGTAGTGTAGTTGTAGTGTAGTATTAAATGGGAGGACAACCAATGCTTGTTGTTTGATGATCCAAGCTTTTGAATACAAGTAGCATATGTCTCTAACCTTGTGTTGTATTTGGATTGTGAGCTTAATGAAAGGATTAATGACTTGTTTTAATCTGTTGTGCCTTTCACATGTTGTTTAGACAATATATGCTTCATTACTTAGATATATTGTGCCTTTCGCATGATGTTTAGACAATACATGCTTAACTAATCATCCTTGCTTGTTGAATCAACCAAACACACATACACACCAATATTGCAACACACCATTTGCCCTCATTAGTCACTTATCAATGGTATGGAAATGCATTGCTTGGTGGTGATCTCTAAACCCCAAGTCTCTTCTCTCTCTTACTTACTCCTAGTTGCATTCTTTTGTTATCACTTAGTTTAATTTAGTTGCTCTCTAGTTTATTCAACCAACCAACCAATTGTTTGATCACTCGATCTACTAGCCCTAATAGCTATTCGACAACCTTGTTTGACCCTCACAATCCCTTGGGATGATCCCTACTCACCCTAGCTATATTTATAGTGAAAGGTAGTAGTGGCTTCTATAAATGTAAAACTTGGCCCTCGCCTTAATGCACACTCTTCAAACTTGATGGTGTAGGACGACGAGAATACCGGACCATCACCGTTTGACGTACCTGTGTGTACACATACCGCTGAGGTGGCAGAGATGATGCGAGAGTATGTAAGTGCTACAGCGCCACCTCGAGCGAGTGCTGACATTGCTGAGGCCACAGTACTTCCCCAAGAGAGGGAAGATATGTCTCGAAACGATGCCCAAAGAAGGGCTGAGGATAGGTCAGAATCCTCAACCCCTGAGGTGACAATTCGTTCGGGCGCTCCTACAGCTGGGTCACCCAGGAGCGAAAATGTAGAGGTTCCCCGGCGACATAGTATAGACACAATTTCGAGCTCGCCCATGGAAGTGCAAGAGCCCTTATAACCTAGAGATGAACATATGGGCTAGCAGGCCTCCTCCGAAAGGGATGAGGCCTCCGATCGGGACCCCCAAGCCTCGCCTTTAGAGACACAGGAGGTAGAGCAAGCTTCTCTTGTGAACGAGGAGACTTGGCAAGAGGAGAGGGTTCAATCATCCTGAGGTTTCACAATTTCTATCTTTGCGCCATGTATATGTGCGACAATCAATGTACCTATGCCTTGGCAAAATTTTGGAGATTTTTGCAGAAGCGACAGATGAAAACCTTATCAAGGAGGCTACACTCCTATTAGATGATGTTCAAAGACTTGAAGTTCTAGTTTCGTGGCTGCGAAAACGATTATATGTGGCTAAGAAGTGTCTGCAGCAGCGACTGCTCACACCACGCCTTCAAGAAACACGAGCTCGGATTAACAAATTGGAGCGGGAGCTCGCACAAGAGCGAGAAAGCTTGGCAGTGATGATAGCGTACTCGCGGGAGCTCGATGATGATTACTCATTGCTGTCGTCATATGTGGATTAGATTTATAGGTTGCTTTTTGATTATTGATGTAAACATGAGTCAAAGACTCCACAATTGTAATCGAACAACATTGAATGAGAAAATTTTGTGATTATCCTTCTCTTGGTCTTTTTTTTTTTTACAAGAACTCGAGTCATGCACCAAATTGAACAAAACCAGTAACTTTTATTCAGGATAACCAAGTTTAACAAAAGTAAAGCTTCAGCCAGACATTATTAATGGGGCTATTATCAGAGCCCTCGAGTGTGTAATAACTATTATCGCTAGATGTTTTGACAATATAGGGGCCCTCCCAATTAGTTGAGAATTTGGAAGTTAAAAGACCGCGCATAATATGTGGAGCAGCTTTAAGAATGAGCTGGCCTGGTTGGAACTGTCGAGGTTGGACATGCTTGTTATATGCTCGCGCTATGTTGTACTGGTATTGCTGAAGAAGCTGCAAGGCTACCTCGCGCCACTCATCAAGGGCCTCCAACTCATTATCTCGAGACATGGGAATCACGCTTCGCGAGGCGAGCTGCGCCGCAGGGACTGCAGTATCAATGGGCAAAACAGCCTCCGTTCCATAGACAAGGGAGAATAGAGTTTGACCAGTAGAGCGTTTGGTGGAAGTATGATAAGCCCAGAGTGCTAAAGGCAATTGCTCTACCCATCTACTAGGCTTTTCTTCGAGTGTTCGACTTAAGATTCAAATGAGATTCTTGTTTAAAGCCTCTACTTGGCCATTACCTTACGGGTAATATGGCGAGGACCGCTTATGCTGGACATTGTACTGCCTGAGCAATTGCTTGACTTTATGATTAATGAAAGGAGTACCATTGTCAGTGAGAATGCATTGAGGGATTCCGAAGCGACAAATGATATTCTCTTGTATGAAAGCCGCGACGGCCCCACCGGTGGCGTACTTGAGGGGGACCGCCTCAATCCATTTAGTGAAGTATTCTGTTGCAACGAGAATCCACATATGACCTCGCACCGGTGGATAGATTGGCCCAATAAGATCTAGCCCCCATGTGTGAAATGGCCAAGGGACTTCAATAGGATGGAGGGGTGTAGCCGGCGTATGGATTTGACGATAGTGATGTTAACAAGGTCGGCATTTTTGTACATGAGACTTGGCATCGCGCTCCATAGTAGGCCAATAAATTCCCTTTTGTAACAGGTGCGTAAAGAGCTTGCGTGAGCTTCGATGCTCCAACTAGTGAGCCTCTTTGAGAGCTTCCATGGCGTCATTGCGAGACAAACATCACAGATACGTACCATTAAGGGTTCGACGAAAGAGTTCACTTTCCCAAAGCTCGAATCGTGCGGACCTCCTCTTTAGCTTTGCAGCAGCTTGTTTATCGTCTGGAAGGGTACCATGCGCAAGGAAATCAATGAACGGGTGACGCCAATCAACCATCTCAAGAATACAAGATTTGGTCTCATCTATTATAGCCTGACATCGCGGGCAGGTACGTTGCAGAGTATTGGCCTGAGCTGCCATATCTGGCCAATAATAACCATGACACTAGAGTCGTCGGTATAACGCAAGAGGTGTAGCACAGTGCTGCTCATGAGTTGCTATGAGAGCTTCTTCAGCATCGTGAGGGCCCAAACATCTGGCTAACGTTCCACATGGAAGACGGAAGTAGAAAAGTCCCTGTAAGAGTTGGAATGATTTCAGCTGTGTGAGAGATAGTGTTCCTGTCCGCTGTTTGAGCTGACTAATGATTGGAGCTCACCAATCATTGTCCGGAACAGTTTAGGCCGGGAAAAGCTCAGCGATGGTAGTTGGACCAATGCGTTTTGTGATACGGATCCGAGTCATGTCATCTGTAATTATTAGCTTAGAGGCTAACGTTGCGAGTGCATCTGGGTACCTATTATTGGAACGAGGTACATGCAAGAACCTAACAGAGGAGAATCTAACGACGAGCCTTTGAATAATGGTACGATAAGATGCGAGCGAAGGCTTGCGTATGGCATACTCGCCCGTTACTTGCTTAACAACTAACTTGGAATCCCCGCATATGCATAATCGTGAGATGCCTTTGTCGAGGGCTATTAGGAGGCCAAGAATGAGTGTTTCATATTCGGCTTCATTGTTGGAACAGCGAAAGGCCAACTTGAAGGCTGCGGTGACATGCTGAGTTGGAAAAGTGAGGACAATACCTGCCCCTCCTCCTGTGCTAGTGGAAGACCTATTAAAAGCTAGTTGCCATTCGCTGTGACTGTTTTCAATAGCGGCCACCTGGAGCTCGTCAAGGGGCAATGCGTCGTCAAGGGGCTCATGCCTTTGCTCGGGGAATTGCGTAAGCAAATCTACTAAAGCTTGGCTCTTAATACCCTGCAGTGCGTAACAGGTAATATCGAACTCTGAGAGAGCTAAAAGCCATCGCGACGCTTTTCCTGAGATGATTGGCTTAGAGAGGAGGTGTTTATACGGGTCGCACTTTATGATCAAATGGACGCGATGGGCCATGAAGTTATGTCTAAACAAGTGCGAGGCAATGACGCTCGATGGCTGAATAGCGAGCCTCAGCCTCGCGTATAAGGCGATTGAGATAATAGATTGGCCGTTCTTGCCCGTCGACTGTTTGCGCGAGAAGGGCCTCAATAGACTTGTCAGTTGAAGTGAGATAGAGAAGTAAAGGCTGCTCCCTGACAGGTGGGTGCATGGTGGTCGAGGAGGCAAGAATGGCCTTAATCTTCTCAAAGGCTGCTTGATGAGCTGTTGTCCAAAGGAATTTGGCATTGCCTTTAATCAAAGTGCTAAAAGGATGAGAGACTTCGGCGAGAGCTGGTATGAACCTACGTAAATACGAAACTTTGCCCAAAAAACTTTTAAGCTGTTTGAAGGAGTAGGGGCGGGGCATATCTATAATTGCGCGAGCTTTGGTGGGGTCGAGGTCGATCTCTTGGCGATGCACCGAAAAGCCTGAAAAATTTTCGTGATGTACCCCGAACGCGCACTTAAGGGGATTCATGCGTAGATTGTATATACGGCATCGTTCAAAAACGCGACGTAAAATGTGGAGATGATCCTCTTGCCGTTTGGATTTCACCACCAAGTCGTCGACATAGTCTTCCACCGTGTGATGCAACATATCGTGAAAGATGGCAGTCATGGCTCTTTGATATGTGGCTCCAACATTCTTTAACCCAAAGGGCATGACAGTGTAGTGGAAGTTGCCAAGTGGTGTCCAGAACGACATCTTATTCCATCTCCCTCGGCCGCCCGTATCTGATTGTAGCTGCTGTACCCATCCATGAAAGAGAAAAGTGAATGCCCAACCGTTGCATCAACCAGTGTGTTTATGATAGGAAGAGGGAAATCATCCTTCGGGCATGCCTTGTTGAGATCACGAAAATCAACGCAGATTTGGATTTGTCCGTTCTTCTTTTTCACAGGAATAATATTTGCTAGCCAAGTTGGATGTAAGATTGGCCTAATGAATCCTGCGAGGAGTAAGTTTTCGACCTCTGTCTTAATCTGAAACTCAAGCTCATGTCGATAGACTCGAGGTGCTTGTTTGACAGGGCGCGAGCCTGGGATGGTACTGAGATGATGTGTCACGGGCTGGGGGTCTAGTCCTAGCATCTCGCTATAGGTTCATGCGAAGATGTCCGAGAATTCCTTCACGAGGCAAATAAGGCCATCTCGCAATGATAGGTCCAATTGCGAGGAGATGAAGGTCGTTCGTGACTCTCGTCCTGCGGGGGCAAGATTGACTTCCTCGAGATCCGGCAGTTATAGTGGCTCCTCCTTTATACACGTAGGCTCGACAACTAGGCTCACCAAGGCTGAGCCCATACACCGTCATAAGCAGTAGACATATCGCCCATCCGGCAGCCTTACTCGTTTGCACTCTCGTGAGGTAACGAATTCTGTGCTGCGATGAGGAACATATGGTTGTGGAGGATAAAAGATGCCGTACTATACCTCATCCCACTTGGGTAGCGGAGTACGAATTATATGCGCCTCTGCTTCTTCATCCTCGTCATCCAACTCATCAAAGAATAGAGCCTCAGTAAAGTATGCCTCGTGCTTGGCAAATGGCTTATCAGAGCATGGAACCATGACGACTTTGTTACCCAAAATGCCTTAATTGATGGTAGGTAGAGGCCACTATGCCGAAACGGTGCATCCACGCCCGCCTGAGGAGCACATGGTAGGATGTATCAGCCTCGATGACATGGTGTTTGGTGGGAGCTCGAAATCTACCAACTGCTAGATCAACATTTACATAGCCGAGAGTCTGGTGGGATTCATTGCCGAAACCATAAACTTCAATGGCCTCATTGATAAGGCGATCTTAGGGCAAACCAGCTTTCTGAAAGGTGGCCCATGGCATGATGTTAATGGGAAATCCGTTATCTAGAAAAGCACGCCGGAACTCCCTACCATTGAGCTGTGCAGTGACATAGAGAGGACGATTCTGAGGAGTAGAGACCCTCTTGTCAGATTCGGAGAAGGAAATGGTCAAAGGAGCCTGGTGAGAGGGGGGTTGACTTGACGAAGCGGCTGCGCAGCACTCTTCCTCACCGTATTATGTTTAAACCTTGGATTGCGTGGGGTTGGTTTCTTCCAACTCATCATAATACGTGACCACAGCCACACCGCGATGATAAGGGTATGGATTGCGCCGCACATCCTTTGGCACGGTCAACTCGAGATTACCACCCTCGAGCCGTTGTTGAAAAATTCACCTTAGAGTCCTACAGGCACTTGTTGGATGTGTAGTGGCTTGGTGGAAGATACAAAAATTTGGGTCGCACGATCCTGCGCAGTTGGCTCTTTGTGAGGAACAGGTAGCACGACTACACCATGCTTGACTCACCGCTCGAGAGTACTGGCGACTTTTTCCATACATACCGAGAATGGGGGAGGATCATTTGTTCACTCAGCTCGAGATCCCTTGGCTCTAACATCTGTCTCACGAAGCTTTTTTGCTCTGTCATTGCGAGGAGCAACCGGCGTGTCTTTGCGAGTTACCTGTCCAGCGACCTCTACCTTGGGAGGTGCGAGATCTTTACAAATGTTCCGTACAGCTGTGGTGAGATCGCTGAAGCTGTTGAGACCCAGATTGACCAAGTGTATCCTGTAGGTCTTAGTCATGCCCTGTATGCAGATATCAACCAGATCCTTTTCACTACTACCCTCAAAGCATTCCCTCGCACGGGCTTGGAAACGAGAAATGAACTTGAGGGGCTCCTCGTGAGATTCTTGCGTTTCTTTAGTGAGGGAGAGGGTGGTGACCCTCTCGTTGGCTTGGCCAAACTTGTTGTGGAACTTCTGGGAGAGTTATTGCCAAGTGGTGATCGAGTCTGGCTTGAGACTACGAAACCACCTGTGCGCGAGCCTTGTGAGAGACTTGGAGAATTCTTGAAGGCGCAAGATCTCGTTATGGCTATGCTGGCCTAGAGATTCCACGAATCTCTGCAAGTGCTCATCGGCATCCCCTTTGACGCCATTGTACTTAGGATTTTGGGATGATATACCCCTGTGGGTACGGTGTCTAAGCCTGGCTTTTTAGGTACAGAGGCTCCGTACGCAATACTAACGCACGTGCAGCTGATAGGGCATGCTTCATGAAAAAATCACGTACCATGGATTTAGTGACATATTCCGGGGAAGGGTTTGCCGGTGGAACCACTTGAACTGGGGTAGGCTTTGGGGCTGCTTGGGCTTACGTCGGCGGATACCATAGTGGTGGCATGTGAGTAGATGAACTGCTTGGCTGATCATGCTCAGGAAGGGCCACCCTAGTGGGAGAAACAGTTCTGGCTCGTGCACTTTGCATGATCAAGGCTTCCAACCTATCAAGGCGGTCGTTAAGATCACGGTTGGACTGCAACAACTCCTCATGAACGAAAGGGGCTGCTGAGCTTTCCGGCATTGTGATATGTGGTGCGCAAACATTGGAAGCACGTAACGGTGCCTGGGATTAAAGAAAAGAGTCACCACCTCCTCCAACAGAGGGCTCTGAATGGTGAGTTGGTATATCCTGTGATTCCATCTGCTTGTACTGATATCCCCAGTGAAGTCACCAAAATGTAGGGGTTCTTTTCTACTAGGTAATAAAATAGCAATAAAATAAAGATATCAGGAATACAAATACGAAGGAAAACAGAGGAGATGCTCAGTACAAGAGGAGGAGAAGAAGACCAACTATCAAGACAAAGATGGTGGTAGAATGAGTATAGAATATTTCATGACAGCTTTTCTTCCTTTTGGGGGTTGGTTCTTTCTTCATAGGACAGTGTCATTTATAGATCTGGATTCCATTGGTTATTATCCAATGGTTCCTTTCATGCATGGTCATTCGTATGTATCACCCCTAATCTGGATTACGTGAGTAATCCTGAAGATTTAGGGATCTGAAGGGTCTAATCATTTCCTCGAACCTTGTCCCACGTTGCCATATCACTTCTCCCTAAATCAGGGGCATTAAATGTTGCTTGGCCGTTGGTTGGTCAAACCTGACATAACATTAATTGTGATTTTAAGGTTTGCTGTCACGACATGTATAATCCCATCATCTTGTTAATTGGGCCTTTCCGAGAGCGAAAACACCTCTTGACTTCTCATTCACCAATCCGAGATCCTCCTAAGTTTCTCAAATATGAATTCCTATAATACGAAAATCCTACCTTCATCTCGTGTTAAGGAGCTCCAATCTTTCAAAACAATATTGTCTGGCGTAACACCAGGGTTCGAGGTATTCGAGAGTTGGTCTCTCGAGGCTTGATGGGCCTGGTGTGGTGCCAGGGTTTGGGATGCTCGAGGATCAGCTTCTCGAGGCTTATTGGACCTGGAGCGATCCTAGGGCTTTGTATGCTCGAAGTTTGATCTCTCGAGGTTTGGTGGGTCTGGAGCAATGTCAGGACTTAGAGTGGTCGAGATTTGATCTTTCGAGGCTTGAGGGCCTGGAGCGATACCAGGGTTTAGAATACTCGAGATTTGATTTTTCGAGTCTTGAGAGCCTGGATAGATTCAGGGCTTATAGTGCTCAAGATTTGACTTTTTGAGACTTTTGACTTTTCAAATTGCCACGGATGATTTGGTTAGAGTTGTGTTGACTTGTCAATATGCCATGTCAACTTCTAACAAGTGACACCCACATTCTGCAATTTTGATTTCTCCGTCGCAGACTCACAGCTTGTGCTACTACCAATGGACTCACTCACTCTCATTTATTCCACGAAATTTCATAAATATTTGGAGTCCGGAACTCCGTACTCTCATCTACTCCTCCTCTCTCTCGCCGGAAAGCTTGACAATTATCCGGTTGCCGGTCGTCATTTTCGGGCGATTACTGATTTGAATCATCAGGTACTGTTTCTTCATCTCTTTTTGGCTCAGAGATCAGCTACTGTAATTGTGTTTTCCCCAGTTTCTCTCTCTTCAAACATATATATATATATATATATATATATATGTATGTATGTATGTATGTATGTATACATACATAATCAGTTGGTTTCTGTGGTTTTATCTACTCCATTTTATTAGGCTGAGTGAAAGACTTTTGTTCGATTGCTTATATTGCTTTGTTTTATAGATTAGACACAATTATGTATAGTGTGTAATTGTATAGATGTCTGTTTTATGCATTCTAATAATTGGTTTCTCGGATTTGCTTTTTACTGGTAAAGTACCATTCAATCCCTTGTGAGAAGTGAAAATGAATTTATTAAACATTCACCTTCATTTTGATTCTCTATCGGTTAATCTATTTTGAGCTTGAAAAATTTATCATGTATTTTGCATCAGGTAACACTTAATTAGTTTAGAAGGCACACATTGATTCATTTAGTGCAGTTGTATTTTATTTTTATCAAAGGTTGTTAAAATTGGGATTTATAATTACTTCAGGGCCTATGTGTTCAGTAAGTTTATTGAGAAGTTCCATTGACAATAATCAATTAATCACTATATTATATGCTTCTCGGGCGGTTTGGAAGACTCTAGGCCCTCTTCCATGGAAGTACAGACAGCAATCTGCCTAGTGGATGATGAGAATAGCTGGAAAACCAATGTGCGACTTGAAACCCTAGCTCGATACCACATATGCCATTTCTTCTTTTTCTTTATTTATTTATTTTATTGCTGTTGTTTTTTTGTTGGGAAATGACTTTTGTTTGCCTTCGCCTTTTTATGCCTTTATTTTTTGTCCCCCTGCGCTGCGGGAGAAAGAGGAGATGGGGAGGGAGCCTGAGTTTTGCCAACTGTAATCTTGAAGGGGGTATAACTTACAAATTGGGGACATTGCAGTTTTGAATTTCTTATGGTAAATTCTTTAGATTTCTGTATGTGTTACATGTCAAATGCAACAACTGTTTCTAGCATCCCTCACATACCTGTGTAAGTTGCAATTTAGAGTTTATATATGCAGTTCACTTTAGTAACTTAATTTAGTGTCATTATGTATGTAACTGGTCCTTTTGGTTCACAAGACCATAGTTCTGAATATCTTATGGCTACATTCAGCTGTTTGGAATTGGAGCCTTGGAATTGAAATTGGAGAAAACTTTCATTCAATTTTCTGTAACTTTGCACTAAAAATTTCTCTAGTTCCACCGATTCCAATTCCAAGGCTCCAATTCCATGCAGCTTAACATGGCATATATATAAATTTAACAGATATTTTATGTCTATATTATATCAACATGCTGTTGGAATTCTGCCTTTGGATAGTCTCACTGATAAGTTAATGACAGGCAGAATTATGGTTTTGTTTCTTTGAACATCAAGTCTAATTTTCATTTCAAGTGCCAACTGAATCTTCATTTAAAACAATGACCATTCGACAGATTCTACTATGAATTTGCGAAAAGGGGGTGCGAAGCCATTTGTTGCTGGTACTACTGATTCAACATCAAAGGAAAAAAGCATGTCTGAGATATCTAGCATCAGCGTTGATCAGTCGAACCATGGTGTGGCAGACATCAGCCTGGATTCTGCACAAGATGGTGAGTGGGAGGTTTATACCAAGAAGTCCAAAAGTAGAGCAGGAAGTGGTGCTGCCAAATCACGGGGCTCTCAGAATTCTAATCCTAAACAACGGGGACATGCAGATGTAGTTCAGAAGCTGGGCATGCAGAGTAATATTAGATCAGGAAAGGGTTGTGGCAGTGGCTTGTCAACTGTGAATGTTGATTCCAAAAGACTACCTGGAAGAGGAAGTTCAAGACCCCAGTCATATAACAGAGGCATTGAGAGCAATTTCACTGGTCCACTGCCTGTAATTTCTCCTCCTTTGGAGCATGGTTGGAAGTGGAAGTCTGATGGAGCTGCTTATACTCTGTCTTCAAAACTTGGCCTTGACAAAAATGAGATCATTTCGAATCCCCATCCTTTTGATGTTAACAAGAACAAGGTCAATGAGATTGGGGATGATGATGATGATGACGATTCAGATGCTGTTGATGATACAGATGATGAACTGCTAAGTGATGATTCTGAATCAGATGAGAGCCAAAAAAGCCACGAAACACGTAAGAGAAGCAAGTTGTTCAATGCATTTTTTGATAACTTGGATAAATTGACTGTTGAGGAGATCAATGAACCGGCAAGACAGTGGCACTGTCCAGCGTGTCAAAATGGGCCTGGAGCCATTGATTGGTACCGAGGCCTGCAGCCCCTTATAACACATGCCAAGACAAAAGGATCAAACTGGCTGAAGCTCCACCGAGACCTTGCAGAAATTTTGGATGAAGAGCTGCGCAGCAGGGGAACAGCGTCCATACCAGCTGGTGAAGCATGTGGCAAATGGAAAGGTCTGGATGAAACTGTCAAGGATCATGAGATAGTTTGGCCTCCCATGTTTGTCATTATGAATACAAGACGAGAGAAGGATGAAAATGAGAAGGTACAGTTAATTTTGTCTTGTTTATCCTATAGGAGTGTTAACTGATTTTTCAATGGAGCTGTCATAAAAGATGCATTATTTTTGGTTTTTATGAAATTCATTTGTTTGCTTGATTTCAATTGATTTTTCTATTTGTTGCAATGTGCTTCCAGTGGCTTGGCATGGGAAATAAAGAACTTCTCAAGGACTTTAGCCCATATCCTGTAGTGAAGGCCAAACACTCCTATGGTCCACAGGGGCACCGCGGGATGAGTGTCTTGAATTTTGAGAGCTCAGCTGTGGGTTATTTAGCGGCTGAGCGTCTGGATAAGCATTTCAAGGATCAAGGAACAGATAGGGAGGCTTGGGATCGTCATCGTGCTCCATTCTATCCTGGAGGGAAGCGCCAACTACATGGTTACATGGCAGAGAAAGGAGACTTAAATATCTTTAACCAACATTCTCCAGGTCCTCGTTCTCCTGACCTACACCTACACTTGATAATTAGATGCACGGTTTTGTTTTTTTGGTCTTGGAGATACAATAGTACTTCTATTAATTTGTTATACAACTATGTTTTGTGTGCTGTGCGATTGATTAGGTAAATCAAAACTGAAATTTGAGATGAGATCATACCAACAGATGGTTGTAAGCCATATGAAGAAAATGAGTGAAGATAATCAGCAGCTTGTCTTTTTTAAGAACAAAGTTGCGAAGGAACAGAGGCATTCAAAAGCCCTTGAAGAGTCTTTTGGTATATTATCTGAGAAGCTGCGCAAAACCTCAGAGGAAAACCGTATTGTGAGGCAAAGAACTCAAAAGCACCATGAAGAAAACAAGGAAGAGGTAATTGTTAACTGCAAAATAAATTGTGTTGATTGATGTTGGGAGTGATTTGTTTCCTAGGTGATGGTTGCTTGCATTACTGCCTTGGACATTATGTGGATGGGTGAGCTTTAAAATTATCATAGGTGGTGGTGTTTGTGCCTGAAATGATAACTATAATATGGACTGCAACCCTCAAAACTTTGGCCATTGTGTTTTTATGAGCATCCTGTATTTTAATAAAATTCTAGTTATATTATTTTCCTTGGATTGGTGAGAAGATATTTCGAACATGCATCTTTGACCATCGGAACAAAATCAATTTTGGACTTCTTTCACTTCTTTGCATGTTCTTGTGGTTTGCATATGCTATTGCTGGCTAGCTACTGTAATTAGTTTTCTTCTCTTTATTCCCCCCTCCAATTGTCTAGTTATAAATATCACTGTTAGATTACTAGAATGCCTTGTAGACTATATCTCGCGTCTAGTTATCTAATTTCCTTCACTATATGCTGACATATAAAGAACTGCTCAGATCTTTGTCAAATTTTGCCTACCTTTGTGTGTCTTGAAAGTGAACGACCAATTTGATAAAGTTAGCTTAGGGTGTATCTAATGAGAGCTTAGAATTTGAATCAAATTATTTTCTCTTTCTTATTTCATGTTTGGGGCTTTTAGTTAGTAGAGATTTAAACTGACTCCTACTTCTGCAAGTTTGTCTTGTGTGAAGGCTCTTTTCTTTTCAATTGTACTCTTCATACCTTCCATGAATTTCTTAGCCACCCTTGAACTACTTCTTTGTATAAGACGTGATTATCTCCTACTTATATACATTTTTAACATGAAGATATATTATAGTATATAACTAATGGCACGGGCGGGTACAATCATTCAATTTCGGCATCTATGGAATATTTCAGGTCCCAAGTTCCGATTTTTATTGGACTTTAGGAGAAAGATGGAGGCATGGCCTGCTTTATCCATTCAGAGATCAGGTGCAAGACAGCTCAGTAACCTTGGAGCATCTGGAGCTCTATCATCATCTTTACCAGTTCCTCCCACCAATATGGAAGAGAGATATCCTAACTTGAAAGACTCTCAACAGTCTCCATGGAGAGGAAAGTTATGCAAATCCTTCGGCTTTTCATTCTTCATTACCTTCGGCCAGTGGGGTAGTAGGTCGCATGTTTTCATCATCCTTGCGGTACTCCTCCGATCTTCATTTTTCTTCTGTTGCACCACATGAAAAGCATTCTGGAAAGGTTCCCTTTCTTTCTCAGTCATCAAATTGCGTTGCATCTATTCCATTTACTCATTCAAGTCAAATCCCATAATTCTAGCCTATCATATCTCGGCTGATATGGTACGTTACATCCATGATTCTAGCTTATCATATCTCGGCTAACAATAATAAAGATTAGGGTTTTCAAGCCGTATACATACTTATATACTGCAGGATAGGGCAGTTGGGGTTTGGGGAGTGCTTATAGGCCTCATCCTGTATATGAACCTTGCCCTCCTTAGGGGTTGTGTGGTGGTTTAGGCATATAGCTTTTTATTTACTGCTGATCATGACCTTCCTCAGCTTCTCTGCGTACCTGGCATCTTTTCCTTTTCATACAATGGCGAAGGCCTCAGTTCTTGACACACTTAAATCACTAATAGATGACATTATTACATACACTTGAAGCACTAATAGGTGACATTATTACAATGATCAATCTGCTGCTAATTTGTGATTTTACACTGGCATTGTTCTATGTAGAACCCATTTTTCTTTACTCTACAGCTGACATTATAAAAAGCTTTTTAGAATCTCAGATCATGTCATCTAGGCCAATGTCATGGTGCATTCAGGAAAAAAGGAAAATGCAAATGTTAGCTTATTATGTCGATGTTCCATCTCCTGCTTATATAGAATGTTAACAGAACCACTTAGATATAAGTTAATGCCGCCAACTTTTAGAAGTTGCAACAGTGGGAGGAAATGAGCAGTTTATTTATTTATTGTTAGTATTAGTATTATTATTTTCTGGTTGCGAGTGTGGGGGGTGGGGGTGGGGGTGGGTTGTATTTGCAATTTATTGCTGAAGTTCCATACCTGATGTTGTATTTCATTTACCCTTCACTTGGGGGTGGTATAGGGATGGCAAATTGTCTTTTTCTCCAGATCCTTGCCCTGCCTTGTGCTACTGGGACTGGTTTTGGGAGATTTAATCTGATTATGGAGGGAGGGGAGGGGAGAAATCTGAAACCTGATTTGTTTGCTAGATGGGGCAACCATCCATCACCTACTTCAGTGCAACCCTTTTTCTGTTGGAATGGGTGATTGGGTATACATGTATCTACTCACTGCTGATCAAGAATCTTATAGTGGTGAAGACTTAATTGTAGATATGAATAATCATTGATATAATTTACAAACACCCATGTTAATATAAATGTTGATATCCTTTATTGTGTTCAGATAATATGGTTCCCATTTATCCATGCTATGTTAAGTAGGATATTGACCTCAAAAGCCTCCTTTGTAGTCTAGGCTTTTACTTTATCTTGAAATGATGGATCCTCAATATGTTTGCTGATTGGCTAGGGCTAAGTTTCAGATTTGTAAAATCTGTAATGCAGTTTGGCCTGATATATGTGCATGTACTTGAATTATTTGCTCAAAACAAATGAAAAAATAAATCGAGTCGTTTATGAATTTATGAAGTTCATGTTAACAAAAATGCATCTCTCTTCGATTTTGAGAGTTATCTCACTTTTGGTTAATTTCTCCAAGTGAGTGTTTGAAACATATGCTCATTTACTTTACTTTTTTCTTGAGATTGTGAACATGTTCATTTTTTCTTTCATTTCTTTTATTAGTTAGACTTTTTTTTTTTTCCTTTTCTTCTCTCTCTCTCTTTCGTCCTGCCATGCGTTTGACCACTAATTCTTTTTTTCTTCTCTCGTTCTCTTGGGTCCCGCTTTTCTCTTGCTTGGTTTCTTAGATGGACTATCTGGAACAGTTCTTTAAGGACCAACTCAGAATCATTCAGGAAGGCCGGGATGCAAAGGAGGACAGTTTTGAGAAGATGCAACAACAGGAGCGGGAGAAAGTCAAACAAACAAATGCCTCTAATACATCTGATCACAGGCACAGGTAATATGCCCTTTTTGAGTGCTAGCATTGCCTGTTAGCAACTATTCTATGTTTTAGCCTACCTTACTATACTGCTGCTTTATATTGTTGTTGCTGTTTTGGTTTGTGAAGAATCACAAATATCCTGGTTTGTAAATAGGATTAAAGCAATCAAATAGGTGATGCCTTTGCGTAAATACACTCATTTGGTTAGTTTTGGCGTTGGGTCGGCACTGGCATTTTGATCCGTGTCTTCCCCAAAAACAAGGCGGGAAGCTAAAGCTCAGATATATGGTTTATTGGTAAAATGCACATGTCTATTCAGATTTGCATGCGTGTTGGCTGGTTTAATAATTATGTGGCTAGTTGTTTTATGCAAAATTAAATCATTTACTGGTCTTATTTGGTCAATAAACTAACATATATTTTTCTATGTTTTCTGTTGTTTTTAGTTTCTCTTACAGTCTTCCGGATGTAGAGCTGAAAAAATTGTTTTCTGGTCTTTTTTGGTCTAAGTTATTATGAACTTCTCTACGTCTCATTTTCTTTTCCGAACCTTGAACATAGTTTCTCTATGTCCCCTCCTATGAAATTCGGAAGTGCCGTAGTTAATTTTCAGCAGCTATTTAGTAATCACATAGGGACATATTTATAAGAAGCAAAAAGAAGATAATATCTATTTTAGAAATAGGTTAATTTTTATACATTTTCTTCACAAAACTCATTCTTGTGAAATAACTATGGTTGAACATGTTATTATCCTCCCATAAAATTTAAAAATCAAGTCATTATAGTTTTGTCACCAAATCATTATTTGTTGATGAAATTTTGGAAACAATACCATTAAAATAAAATTTTATCATAAAATAGCATTACAATTAATTTTGGAAATATTTTCATTCCAAATTAAGGACTTTTTTTATCAAAAAAATAAAAATTAAAAACACACCCAATTATTTTTACAAACTGGATCAGAAATGGGTCAACTTGTTCCAACCCCTTTTTTTTTACAAAATGGATCTTTTGTGATGGCAAACTTTTGATATTGACTTCAACTTTCAACAAATTTAAAATGATAAACAAATTTTTTTATTTTTATTTATTTTATTTTATTTTTATGCTTAAACAATGTTTTTTTGACTACCATATTAAGTTGAAAAAGACAAATATTAACTTAATTTGATAAATGGTTACAAAAACTTAGGAAAATGATAATCACACCGAAGGATTTGGCCGACTCCTTTGGCAGAATCTACGTGGCTGCGTAGGTGTCAAAAAATTAATATATTCTATTCTATTTTGCCTCTATGCCGCCGCCACCAATTGCTACCATTAGTGCCTCCAGTACCTTCGCCGGTTGGTCTTCGCCGCTGCCAGTACCTTTGGCGGCGCTAGAACTCGCTGTTGTTGGCCATCTTCCTTGCAGCCGTTGATCTCCATCATGCTTGCAATCGTCGATCTCATCCTGACCCGTGCACCTTCTGTTTGGTCTCTATATTGGGGTTGTAAAAAAAAAATCTGTTTTCGTTCTCAATGCCACCGGTCCTTTATTGATCTCTGCCTTACCTAGCTGACTGCCGTCAGTCTCTCTGCTCCGCCGCTACGCCGATTGTTTCGTTGATCCCGTTTTTTGCTGATAAGAACAGATCCTTGCCCACTGTTTAGAGTAATGGTCCGGTAAACCGTTTTATGCTTTCTGTTGATGGTAGTTCGTGAGTAGGACGAGGAGATCGTTCCACGTAAGTCAAGAAATCTGAGATCAGTATCTAAGTGGAGATCCAAGCAACACAAGGGATTCTCTAGGTACGGAGATTAAGAAAGGGAAGGCCGACCTCGGTACCGTATGAGCTCGAGCTTATCAGAAGATAGCTATTAATGTGGTGGTTGTTGTCTTAAAGGCTGATTAACACCCCTATTTATAGTGTTTACCTCCTCGGTCAATGTCTTTTAGTCCTTTGGCTGAGCCTGCTCTTACCAAAGGTTTGAGGGTCTCTTCTTTTGACGGATGAGACATTAATGGGTGGGTCGCGGCGCTTTGCCCCTAGTCAAAAGAGGTATCGGTGCTCCCTAATTAATACGGGTCTTATCAAACGTCTTTCGCAATTAATACATTCCTTATCCTTCCTTTCTCGAGCTTAGGTACCGAGTATCCTTTCCCCCTTGTGTTGGCCTCGGGCTGAGGCGAGCCCTTGGATCTCAGCCACCTATCCACATGTCCTCAGATTCCCATACTTCAGGGGGGGGGGGGGGGGGGGAGGGATAGGTCCTTTTCGAGGTCCTGCCATGAAGCCCTCGCAGGATTCTATTCCGGCTTTATCTCGAGGCCTTCCTAGCCGAGAAGGAAAATGCACAAAACAGATTAGTCGAATTCGCTCTTTCAGAGAGCGCCCTTGAACGAGCCAGGGGGGGAGGAGCCCATCTGACTGGAGCGGGGCGCGTCCACAGTAGAGGAAGGGTAGCGACCCCTTCCTCGGCTAGCAAGTTTAGTTATCGGATAGGTAGCTTGAGAATACCTAATCCACCGTAGACACGACAGGTAAACGCTGGCTAGTTGTGCCTATATTACAGGGGTGGCGCCACTTAATCAGCTAATGTGGCGTGGTCATCAACATTTTGCCCCCTGCTCGAGGTTGTCAAGAGAGGAGCTCGAGCAAATCACTAACTTAGTTTAATTTTGTCATTATTATTTCTACTGAAGGGTCATGTCATTTAAGTACAGAATAGTCATATCACTTCAAGGGGTCGTGTCGCTTTGGCTTCTCGATCCACGTGTCGCCTTTTTATTGGTGTGTCAGACTAAGACGCTTCGGGTCTCGAGTCGCATCCTTTCATTAGCCAGAGGCGCAACGCTTGGGATGCCGAGCCCCCATATTTAAGTCGTACCAAAGCATTTTTTTTTAAAGGCACCAACAACACTCATCCTTACTCGCCCCTCGCAAAAAAAAAAACCTTCTTGTTCAAAGCAAACGACAATGGCAGTTCGTGATGATGTCCCCGATGTCCCTCCTTTGAATGAATGGCGAGTTGCCCCATACTTCGGCCCGAGTGACACCTTCTGGGTCAATAGCGATGCATTAAGCGAGGTAGACGAGGCTTAGGAAAGCACACACTTGTTCGAGGGAGAGCCTTACGCGCTCACTGGGGTACCCATTCAGCCTAACTCAATTTTACGATTCAGGGTAGAGCGTGGTGACTTTCCTCATTCCAGCGTTGCCTTTACGAGTCAGACCGGTCATGGACGAGGGTGGGAGTTATGGACAGACCCGATTCTATCTGACGTTGAGTTCTCAGGGATTTTGCAGGCTTTAAAAATTACGGACGCTATCCGAAACACCCGAGAGTTAACCATACCTCGGGATGTCCATGACCTCGCCCTCCTACTGTCTCGGTGGAGCCGAGATACCCATACTTTTGTCACTTCTTGGGGAGAATTCACCCTAACCTTTGAGGACGTGGTGCAGCTTATGTGGTTGAACGTGTTTGGTGAACAAGACCCCAGCTCTTGGTCTATCCCTGAAGACGAGGTCAAGCTTGCCTCCAAGCTTCGTAAAGGCGTCACCTCGGCAGGGAAGATAGCCTCGCGCTATCGAGATACTGGACTTCTTGAGGAGTTCCTAGAGACGGGCAAGAAGTGCACGTTTGTATCGCTTCTACGCTATTATTTTTTAGACTTTACCCCCCAGGGTCAAGAAGGGGAGGAGTCTTTTAGTGGCCCGAAGTGCAGGGACTCAGCTCGCCTTGTCGCTTATATCTTATCATGGTTATCCAGATTTGTTTTCCCGGGGCCTCCCGATGATGGGCCTTGTCCTGACCTCATTCCATTGGCTGTCAGGCTATCTTATGGTAAAAGCTTGCCCTTGGCCGCGCTGTTCTTGGGTACTCTTTATCATGAGCTCGACTTGGCGCACGCTTGCATGGAGCGCTCCGTGGATCGCATGACCGTGGTTTCTCCCGTCAACGCAATTTTCCTTCAGATGTTCTTGTATGAGCATTTTCCAAAGTATGGTCCTCGTCCAACAACGCTGCCTCGTGACAGCGGCTTGAAGCGGTCTTTCCAGTGGCACAAACTTGGCACAAAAAAGAAATTGTCTGAGTTTATTGACAGGGAGAGTTGCTTCGTAGCTCACCCATACACCCATGGACCTCGCGTCGAGTGCTGCACGTCGAGGGATGGCATGGTGATTTTAGGCAAGTCTTTGAAGCGTACTCCAGCCTTGACCATCATAGCCATGACCTCGCCTGGCTATCTTCCCGCTCTTCTTCCCCCTCACTCGGGCGTAGGTAAGGTTTACAACCCTCACAGGGTGGCTCGACAATTCGGGTTAGATCAGGGGCTTCTTAGGGATTATGGCTACGGGGCGCGATAGGATCACAACACCTATGCTCTAGGCTTTTCGCGCTTCCTTGATTCTGAAGAGGCCGAACTCCTCGGAGATCGCCAAATTCTTCATGTGCCCTTTACTCTCAGGGTTGGGAGATTGGCTGTAAAGACAAGGGCATATTGGAAAGAGATAATTCTTTCTTTTAGGAAATTTGTAAGTAGCACTCCTATCCTTGTCCCTGCCCGAGCCTTGTTAAAAGGTGATGCCTCGTTTCGCACTTTCAAGAATACATTTGTATCCGCGAGAGGTAAACCTTGTGGTACAGCGGGTTTACTTCCTCTACTCCTACCAGCTACAACTGCGCCCGTGATAGCCCTCCGTGCTACCAAGGCGCGCCGGGACAAATGTAAGGCTGATCAAGACGTCAGCACCTTCATACCTGCAACCGCTTCTTCGAAGAAAGCTAAGGTAAAAAATGTATTCTACCTCTACTTTCTTATCGACTCCATGCTGATTAGTTCATTTTTTTTTTATATTAGGATGCTCCAAAGGCTCCCGCTGTTGCAAAAGATCCTATTTCCTCTGAGGTCCCTCATTCGCCCGCCCGAGCTGGGGTTTCTTTAAGAACAAGATCTCGCGCTACTCACCCAAAAAGAATTCCTATAACGATCGCGCCCACCAGCGGTGTTCCTCGCGCTCCTGAAGCGGATACCGGCTTGGCCATTCCCTCCGATCCTCTTCACACTTTGGCAAGCGTTCTCGAGGACTCTAAGCGCGCGGAGAGAGAAATACTGTCCTCTGACTTGAACCCCCCTCCTCCCTTGCAGCACGGGGTGGGCAAAGAGTTGATCCCTCTATCCCGCGGCTTGGGCAGGTTTGACGAGGAGACCGGGGAGGTTAATACCTCGGCAGATCTTGCTATGGGAATCTTCAATATCGAGTGAAGCCCAAGTCGTTCGCCATCCCATGGAGGTACTATCCTTTCCTTCCACCCCCCCCCCCCCCCCCTCCTTTTTTTTTTTCTTTTTTTTTTTTATTTAAGAAAAGACCAAAGAAGAAGACCAACTATTAGCTATCTGTCTTTTAGGTGCTGAGGTGGCTACATCTGATGTGGCCGAGGCTGCTGCTGGCTCAGAGGGTCATTTCCCTGATCGCGCGAGTTAGGACAGCGATACCAGTTCGCAGGTCAAGGTTGTTCATGTGCTACCTCGA